TTAATGCTGAGCAACAGCTGAAATTTCTTGGACAAAAAGAGGGTTTGTAGAATTCGACACTCAATTTATTGAAGGCAAAAAGTGACAGAAGGCTGCAGTAGGCCGGCAACCTACCAGCTTTTGTAAATGGATGGCAGAATGGTGGTAAGAGAGATGGCAAAAAGACAAAAGTCATTACATCAATATCATGTTGAAACTCTAGTTTCCACACAATTACAAGAATTAAGCAGCATCAAGCCTGATCAGTATCTAGATGGATGATTGCTTGGGAATACCAAGTGCTGTAAACTCAGATGTGCAGGTGGTGCAATGGATATTGGCTCAAAATTGGAAATCTGAGAGCCAAGTTTCAATTTCAGTTGGGAATCTTTGTTATCTTTATACATGGTGGCATAATGGAAAGTGCCTTTCGATTCAAGAATCGGTAAGTTCCAGTTCATTGCATTCACTTCTATGCAAATACTGTTCACAAAGGTAGGAATCCATCTCTTCTTCCAGCTATGGGTTAATGTGACTTGTATCAGTAAATCATTATTATCTAAAAAAAAAAAAAAAAAGACAACCCCCCCAATAAACTCTTGTAATATAAAAATATTTTCTGCCTTTAAATAACCTGTAATCGGTTGTTAAGAAAATGCTGCAAAATTAGTTGCTTCAATACCCAATTTAACTGAAGGTCGTTTAAGTGACTTAAACCAGGAAAAATAACTTAATAAATAAATAAAATTGTATAAAAAATTATTTACATGATTTACTGCTTCTAATATGCATTTTTTCTTTGTAAAATAGCTCCAGAAACCAATCTGCATTTTATAAATCAAAGGTCACTGACAGTAGTTAACTTCTCTTCTAATTATTACCATAAATTTGATATTACTTCTCAGTCTGTGAAGAATTTGTCTCATTAGATTTTCATGCTGAAATATGACATTCAGTTGGTAAAATTGGGGAATTTCAAGAAAAAAAACAAAAAACTTTTACAATGTTTTCCTTCAAAATTTGGAGACCCCTAATGTATTGGCACATCTTATATGCTGCAAAATACTCTACATTCAGATCAAAATTACTTGCATTATTGACATATCAATCCACATCTTTGCTGTTAAGATCTGGTTTCAGCCATTGTACCATGTGGACATATTCAGATGTCTGTTGATCTGGGAACCCTTTCTTTAATCAACAGGTTGTTATAGTGGAACACACCTATTCTATAGTTAATAGACTCTCCCACCTATAATAAGTAGGAGTAGTAAGAGTAACGAGTGAGGAGTCAGTCAGTCAGCAGTGAGTTAGTCGATGTCGGACGATAGTCGAATACGAAAGTATCAGCGACCACCACAAGATTACTCTGCGTAATGCTGTTATATCAAGTTCCTAACGTTTTGTACGTCGAACCTATTTTAGGACTGACTTAGTACAAATACAAGCCTCCACTGCGAAATAACTCCACAACACAGGTGAAGATGGTTCTCCTGACGTCCAGAGATATTCCATCTTAGATACTGCCCAGTTATTGTGCAATCTGTACTACCCACCATAGGGCATGAACTCACAATTACTGCAAGCAAAATCATGAATAAACATTTAACCCAGTAGGCTGTTGTCCCATGTGAGGATAGAAACAGGGATGTGGACATTAGCCTGAATGTAAATAATGGTAATTCTTTGTTCCGGAAATTTAGATAAAAATGTACAAAGGGAAATGGTGGAAAATTTTTATCAACTGAATTCTATTATTTTATTAACCGCAAATATTCAAATAGCTACTAAAAAAAAAGAAGAAAACATTAACCTGAAAACTGACGTAATGTTCTTAAATAGCCTCATCAGATCGAGAATTTCAAATGAGATTTCATGCATAGTGCCAAACCCATTCTGAAATTTAAACTGCCTACTCTATACAACCTCTTTCTCAGATCAATGCTTAAGAATGGCTTGCAGTGAGTGAAACCTGTAGGTCTTGACAAAGACCATCGTTCTTTGAAACTTGCAAACTCGTGCTACAGAATCACAAACAAAGAACTGTATCAAATGACAAAAAGCACAACACTTGGAGACATTCAACAGTAGCAACAACTAAAATAGATAGCACATGTAAGTCAAAGATAAAACAATGAGGTAATCAAGATGTTGACATTCCATACTACTTCAAACAAAAAGTTAGGAAGGAAACCCTGATCAATACTGGAAAGACGTATAACAGCTACTTGACTTGAGAAAGCCATTTTCATGAAAAGTTGTTTTAAGATAAAGATTTTATAAATTTCAGTTGAAAGTGATACTGAGCCAATGAAGGCCAAATGTTTCCTTATAAGGAAATGGTTAATATTACTGTTATCATTCTTTGTAAGATTTGCTTTGAAAGCTGAGAGATCACATCAATGGGTGTTCAGCATTTTGTTCATTTGATTATAAAAAGAATCTTTTTTCCCTAAATATTTAATTTCTTTCAATTACATTTACATCGGCCTTTTATCATTATTTTCCGTGTGACTTTGGTAAAAGTAATCTCCCGTGAATATTATTTGCTTTTCTTTTTGCATCAATTTACTTTTTTCATGGTTATCTCGCCCTACTAAAAAAATAATGTCTTTTATAAAATTAATTCAAATTAAATATTAGTGGTGTGAAAAAGGTTTTAGTGTGAAAGAAAAAGAATGCTATTTACTAGTGTGAAATCAGTCCCGTTTTATAAAAAAAAGATAAATGCTGAGAACTTATGCACAAACTTAAGTTATTTCTAGTTCTACACATCAAGCTAAAAATATGTACCATATTTTTTGTGCATAATACGAGAAATTTTGAATGAAAGTTAAAAGCAAAAAAGAGAGGGTCGTATTATACACAAGTATAGGTTTTCAGAGATTTTTACTCAACTTAAAAAATATATCAAACTTTTATTTCAAACAGCAGGATTGCAAGTAAACTTAGAAAAATAAATGATAATACACAAAGTAGACAGGTTTTGATAACAATCGTTTACAAAAGGTATTTGATATTTCGGCAATATTTCTTTTTTGGGAATCAGCGTAATTGAAACTGTTTTATCTCAAAGACAGAAAATTCACTGAAATTGATTAAAAAAATTAATAAAGGGAATACGTAAGATCTGTCATGTTTTGATAACATTAATGTTACAACAAAGGCCTAATTTATTGTATAAATTAGGTAATTATTTAGTTTCTTTTCCACTTGAAAAATAAGGCAATTATTACTGACGCAGGATGTGGCTCAAGGTCGTTCTTAATGTAGGTTGTCTGTACACATGAATATGCATATGAACCAAGGACAAAAATTGCTGAGACCCCCACAACCACAATGGCATCAATATTACACAAACCCAACCTGCCTAATGAGAAAGATGCTGCCACATGGTTGAAATCTGCAGAATTAGGCACCTTTCCCCCATTTAAAATAAGGAAAGAGCAGGTACTATGCCTTCATCCCACCCAAAAGGTTTTAAAAATGTGGGTGTGGGGATAATTCCCATACTGTGAGATTGTTCTCTCTCTGTTTGCTGATGAAAATGATTAAAAAAAATAAAACAATATAAACAACCCTAAAATAATTATATCATTGTCAGGTTAACGCCTCCTAATTTTCAAAACTGTTCCTAGGGGACGTTTCCGGTACTATAAATACTCCGTGATAATTATTTGCAGCCTCTTCTTATGCCAACATTTAAAATTTCTCGTGGTAAAACGCAATTATAACATGTTCCTTTTTGGGAAACGCTTGAACAATACATACACACACACACACACACTAGCTAGCTACACATACTTTGGACCAAAAAAGTTCCACATTTGTTTGTTACACACATTATTGTCTTTTGTAACTTGTAACAATTTTGTTGTTAATACATTATCATTTGTTTGTACATATATATATATATATATATATATATATATATATATATATATATATATATATTTATTAATCCTTGTTGTTTTTTATTTTTTATGTGGACTCACACCCTGAGTCCACCATCTTTGTTGTGGGCATTTTAGCAGACACCAGCATGCAACATAGTGCTCCCTCGTACTTGTAATTTTAAATCACAAGATATGATAATTTATGTGGATATGAGATTGAGATTTTAATGGATAATAAGATACAACATTTAAATAAAAAATCACACAGTGATGACTGTAATATGGAATCATATACTTAATATGGGATTAGTATGTTGTTATTATTATTTTATTATATATTATAATATTATCATAATAAATAATATGGCACCATATTATACTCAAGGATGTAATTTATTCTGTTTGTACTTACAGAAACACTAAGATGTATTCTATACAAGAAAAGTTCATTTTGTTTATAATTATCATAAGTTGAAAATGTATGCATGATATTAAGGTGGATCAAAGCTATTTTTTATTTTTTTGGAGCTTTACTTAAAAGTTTATTTCCTTTCCACATCTAAGAACTACCTATTTCACTATGATGCATGTTAATCGTATACTGGTAAGACTATTGGAGTGAAAATATACATTGCAACACTTATTTTACACTAAAGTGTACATACACATCATGAAAATACATTTATTTAAAATTATATTTTTATTATTCAAACATTATTTTTAGTGAATACCCATGTTTTTTTTTAAACAGTGGGCATTATGTCTACCGGCCTATGCACTTGATTAGTTGATTTTGATTAGTGACATATCAAACTCCATGGGTTATTTAATGGGGAAATCTAAACATTTTTAACACAATTGCATGCTTTCAATCACATATAAAATGTATGGTAATTTTTAGTTGGTATTTTTTATATAAAAATATATTACTGGCATTTTGATACTTTCAAACATCTACCAGCTTTTGTTTGGGGGGTCACTATTTACCCAGAGCTTGGATCCTAACAAGTGCTACCACCCCGGTCAAGGTGTACCTGGGAACAATGTAACTTAAGAGGTACTTCCATGCTCCTGAAAACCTCCAATCATCCGATCAGATGCCATGCTGCCAGATGTAGTTTATCGTCATACCCAGGAAGGCTGTGCACTTGAGAAAACTTGAAAGTGGGGAAAGGGAAGACAAAGAGAGAGAAGTAAGGGAAAGGAATGACGACCAGGGAGAAGTAAGGGAAAAGGAAGACCACCAGAGAGAAGTAAGGGAAAGGAATGACCACCAGGGAGAAGTAAGGGAAAAGGAAGACCACCAGAGAGAAGTAAGGGAAAGGAATGACCACCAGGGAGAAGTAAGGGAAAAGGAAGACCACCAGGGAGAAGTAAGGGAAAAGGAATGACCACTAGGGAGAAGTAAGGGAAAGGAATGACGACCAGGGAGAAGTAAGGGAAAGGAATGACGACCAGGGAGAAGTAAGGGAAAAGAAAGACCACCAGAGAGAAGTAAGGGAAAGGAATGACGACCAGGGAGAAGTAAGGGAAAGTAATAGTCACCAGAGAGAAGTAAGGGAAAGGAATGACGACGAGGGAGAAGTAAGGGAAAAGAAAGACGACGAGGGAGAAGTAAGGGAAAAGAAAGACGACGAGGGAGAAGTAAGGGAAAAGAAAGACGACGAGGGAGAAGTAAGGGAAAAGAAAGACGACGAGGGAGAAGTAAGGGAAAAGAAAGACCACCAGAGAGAAGTAAGGGAAAGGAATGACCACCAGAGAGAAGTAAGGGAAAGCAATGACCACCAGAGAGAAGTAAGGGAAAGCAATGACCACCAGGGAGAAGTAAGGGAAAGGAATGGTCACCAGAGAGAAGCAAGGGAAAAGAAAGACGACGAGGGAGAAGTAAGGGAAAAGAAAGACCACCAGAGAGAAGTAAGGGAAAGGAATGACGACCAGGGAGAAGAAAGGGAAAGGAATGACGACCAGGGAGAAAGTAAAGGAAAAGAAAGACGGCGAGGAGAAAAGAAAGACCACCAGAGAAAGAAAGACCACCAGAGAGAAGTAAGGGAAAGGAATGACCACCAGGGAGAAGTAAGGGAAAGGAATGACCACCAGGGAGAAGTAAGGGAAAGGAATGACCGCCAGGGAGAAGTAAGGGAAAGGAATGACCGCCAGGGAGAAGTAAGGGAAAGGAATGACCACCAGGGAGAAGTAAGGGAAAGAAAAAAAACACGGAACAGTAGTGAGGAAAGAAAAGAGAACGAGAGAGAAGTGGGGAAAGGAAAAAGAACAGGGACGTTTTTGGGAAAGTGAAGACAAAATGAATGAAGTGAGTGACAAATAAAAGCAAGAAAAATGCTTTATGGAAATAAAAAAATGAAACTGAGAAAGAAAACGACAAAGTAGCAAAAGTTGTAAATAGAAAAAGAGTAAAAAAAAAAAATGAAAGCTAAGTGGGTAAATAAACGTGGAGGAGAGAAAAAAATGTCTAGCAGAAGAAAAGAAAAAACAAAATAGCCGCAAACAAAGACCAGATCCAAAGAATAGAAACTGCAACTCCAACTTCTGCTGTTGGACGCTATTTGGCTATTAGAAAGATCAATAAATCAATACGTCAGAGAAATTTAATCAAGTGTGAGTTAAGAAAACATTTGTTTCACATCCCAACCCCTACCTTCAAACATTCGGGTTGATTTGCAATCGAGATATCGTTAGATTTGTAAAGGAAAACAAGAGAAGCTCTTTGTAACCGGGACAGACACAAAACAAGCAAATAAAAATATAATTTTAACAAGGAAAAACAAAACTGTCAATGAATGTGAAAGTAGTTGATATAAAATTGGAAGAAAAAAATGCACGCAGTAAAGGATTAAAAAAAAGCACTAAAATGAAACGAAAATACTAAATACTTTTAAGTTTTTTACTTATTCCTGCACAAAGCGACCCTTGCTCTATTGTATAAAAACGGCAATAATATTTATTTATGAATCTATGTATATAGATATCTTCAACTATATTTTTAAATTAAAAAAAAATCTAACAAAAATAAAATATTATTAATGAGAATATATTTCCCTTTTATTTTTGTTTGATCCTGACTTTATTATGAGCAGAGAAATTAACAATTTTCAATTTGGGCAACGAAATACCTTGTCAATAAATTTGACAAGAAACATTTCAAACTTTATTCAGACAATTGAACCCCTTTGAGTAGCTGATGTTACACTAATACTCCACCTAGTAAGTTCTACAGCCGTCTTCAGGTGCGCATGTTCAAAAAGATTTTTAAAAAAGACAAAGTAAGATAGTCAAATAAATATGTATTCATTCTAAACCTGCTGAGTTACATAGACAATGCCCTTAACGTTATGTTGGTTTTGGAAGTGTAAAACAGCAGGAACACCTTAAACTAGGCAATAAAGAAAAACGAGAAGAAAAGATAATCAACTTTTAAAAAAAAAGTATGGCCATTAGCAATGGAGACCGGCTAAGATTAAATTGTAAACTTGGGGCATCAGAATCAAGTAAATACAAAATCTAATTATTTAGGAAGTCTTATAACAGATGATAGAAAAAAATGTTATATTAAGTATTAAGAAAAAAATCATTTGAGACAAGGAGTACTGAAATACAGAGTGCGGCAGAAATACCTCCTACATTAATAAACTATCACCTGTATGTATAGAAGATCGATAGTGCTGTGGATTGATAACTTCAGACTTCATTGCTTAAAAGAAAACCACATTGAAGCGCTAGAACTTTCGTGTAATGGAAAAATTTAGAAATCGTCTATAAGAGTGTATGGGTAATGCAGGACATTTACTTCCATAGCTTTTTCCATTTTTGAATTTAGCTGCAAGTCAGCAGAGGTTTAAAATCGGAATTTTTACTTCGAGATGAACTGCCTTCCTGGGCTGATGAGAGAAATCTACCCAAAAGCAGCTGGTTATTAGGCTCCAAGCTTATTGAGACGCATAACATGTGAGCATTTTATAGACAGTGGGAGCTTGTCCCCACTACCATCCCCAGCTTTGTCAGCATTTGTAATATACACAAAGAAACATATATAAATATTACATAAATTTTTAGAAGCTCAAAAAAATAATTTTCTTTTATACAGGTTGAGGCAGAAATACTTCCCACATTTTAAACAGTCACCTGTGTGGTGCTAGTGAACTTAGGCAAATAGCAATGGTGCATTCATCTAGCTAATGTCTTACCATTTTCTTATATACCAACAGTTGTCATCACAGCTTGGACCAATGCACACTGTGCATTTGCTACTGCGACGTTATTTTTTTTTAAGACTGATGAAATTGTAATTGCAACACAGAAAGCTTTTCTTATTCACTTTATGTTACGTCGGAATGATGCTGTTCCGGATAAAAAAGATCGATACTGCTATGGGCTGAAAAATTCGTGGCCACAGGTTCAGCGCTTAAAAGAATGCTACCAGGAAGACCTTGAAGCGCCAGAACTCCAGAAAATGTCAAGGCTGTGAGAGACACTGTTCTATGATCTCCTACACGTTCAATCCATAAACACGCTTCTGCTTTTGAATTGCCTGATTGAACAGTCAGAATAATTTCACACAACGATTAATTTGTATGGATGAAATTTAATTCCATCCATACAAATTAATACCTTTTCCGGAACTGCAAGAACACGACTGGGAAAATCGCCTGACATGCTGTGAAGATATCCTTCAAAATGTTCCTGCAAATACTGTTCTTCTCACAAGTAAAGCTCACTTTCATTTCTCTGGCTGAGTCTATGAGCAGAATGTTCACTACTGGGCGGAAAATAAACCTAAATACCTTCATGAAAGACCTCTGCACAACGAACGAGTGACTGTGTGGTGCGCAGTTGCGAAATTTGGTGTAGGGCGCTGACTTTTTTTGAGTGGGTAGACGAATCGGTTGCAGTAACATCTGACAGGTACGTGGAGATGCCGCAGGCCTTCCTGGAATCAAAACTCGGAGACCTTGAGAGTTTGGATATGTGGCTTCAATAGGATGTAGTTTCCGCACGTACAGCGAGAAGATTAATGGAAGCTTTGAGAGAGATATTTCCAGGACATTTGATTTCCTTATGCGGTGACACTGGATGGCCTGCACATTCGCTCGATCTCGCCCACCACCTGCGATTATTTTCTCTGGGATTTCACGAAAGGTGAGTTCTACAAACATCTACCAGCAACCATTGACGAATTAAAGGATGCTATTCGGCAAAAGGTGGCAGAAATACCACCAGAAAGTCCATTTGGGAGATGAAAACTTTAGAATCGTTAACAGTGTATGGAAAATAAGGGGATGGCTATTTGGATAATTTCAGTTTTTTAAAACCACATGAATAAAATATAGCCCTTTTTTTTAAACAACAGTCAATAACTTTTTCAATAGCAGTTATCTTTTGTTTTCGTGCTGACATTTAAAATGAGGACTCCGTATATAATATCTATCCTTCAACATGGCAATGATAATTGATGTAATGGAATAACCTGTATCTTTCATAAGTGACTGCACTATAGATAGTAACTACTTATCAGTATCTGGAAGTCAAGGTACTACAGAGTCTAGCTGTAATCTTTTCCAGCTGTGCTGGTCGAACTCTCTGCTTCCGGGCAAGGAGGAACCCGGACTAGGCTATGCCGTAGGGCAGAGTCTCGTCCGGGGAGGTAGACAAACCCGATCCCGTTTATGCGGGGTCTACGGGGATTTTTTGGCCAACCCTACGGGCTCAGGAACCCCACATAAAATTCGGCCTTGTGCCACATGTGACTGCGTGGGGCAGTTACTAGATACCGTCTAGCTGGGATCTTTTCCATCTGTGCTGGTCAAACTCTCTGCCTCCGGGCAGAGAGGATCCCCAGACGAGGCTATGTCGAGGGGCAAAGTTTCGTCTCGGGAAACAGCTACCCGACCCCGTTTTATACGGGTTCTACGGGGAATTTTGACTGAGCCTACGGGCTCGAATGCCGCACATTAAATTCGGCCCTGTGCCACATCTGATCGCGTGGAGAAGTTAGTAAATACACTAGCTGGGATCTTTTCCAGCTGTGCCGGTCAAACTCTCTGTCTCCGGGTAGAGAGGATCCCCAGACGGGGCTATGTCGAAGGGCAGAGTTTTGTCTCGGGAAACATCTACGCGACCCCGTTTTATACGGGTTCTACGGGGAATTTTTGGCCAAAACTACGGGCTCGGATTACCCCCCATTAAACTCGACCTTGTACCACATCCTACCTCGTGGGGAGTCTGGTAATTATCGTCTAGCTGTTGAGTATGACTCAGAGTTACGCAAGAACTACCGACCTTCCAATAGTAGCACTCACTACTGGATTGACTTGTGACGACTTTGTGCATAACTGTTACCTTTATCCTTATTGTACTGTTTTTTTGGGTTTTTTTTTACAATAAACCTTTACCTATTTTATCCACCGTATTTTTCAAGTATATATTCCTATTAGCACGGAATATAAGAATAATCTTTTACACATATTGTAGTTCAAGGTGACATTCATGTGCAAAGGCGTGCCGGTTCCTTTGGCACTGGAGGATGTTTAAGTTGCCCCACCCAACCTTTCATGGGTGGATTTATTTTTGAAGTAAGCTTCTTTTAGCCTTTGCCTAAAAAGGTAGTGCATGCAGTGGGGTTTGAATTCAGTGTTTACTTTTCTAAACCGATTGTCACCCAAAGCTATAGGACCCAGTGTCTCCTGCTATTTTACCCATAGCGGGGGGAGAAAAGAGACGGATATATACTTATCCCAAGGTATAAACTCAACTGCAATTCGAACACGTATCTCCGATTCCACAATTAGTGCAGCTAAACATTACTCCACAGTACATTTTTTAAACAATACTTTATCCATATTCTCGACAATAGTTTATAACGTTTTATCATTTCAGACAATATCGTGTCATTAGTTTCTTTTGTAAAAAAAAAAAAGGCAATTGGTATATTTCAAATAAACATAGAAATTGATGTTATACATTTTACAGGCTATATTTTTAGTATAATAATGAATCGAAGACTTCCAAACAATTTAGACACTAAGTTGACTATTGTGTCAAAGAGTTCATGAGATGTTTTAAAAAGTACATTTCGCAGCGTAGTTTCCAAGTGTACATAACGAATTAATGATATTGCTTTTAAGAGTATCTGGCATAAACACGGAACTTTTTTATGTCTATAATTTTTTTTTATGTAGAGTGTACGCATCAGAACTGTAGTTTGAAAAAAAAACACCAAAAGCACATTTCACTGATGAGGTCTTTCCTGGGGGCATAATTTACTGTTATTATATAATTCCACGACCACCATTTGTGAACAATTTCGTTTCCGAATATATATTTTATGAATATAATTGTTTCCGGATAAATGTCTTGCGGGCAATGTACTTTCCAAAGATCACAGAAGCTACCAAATCGTAGACTTCATTATCATTGAGATTTTTTGATGGCGCATTGCATTTTACAAAACATATTTGCGTGATTGTGCGGACACACATACGCACGCATATAAAAGATATTCATATAAACGTATATATATATATATATATATATATAATTAAACACATTCATACAAACGTATATATATAAACACATCCATATATATATATATATATATATATATATATATATATTAAACACATTCATACAAACATATATATATAAACACATCCATATAAATGTGTGTATATATATATATATATATATATATATATATATATAACACATTCATACAAATGTATATATATAAACATATATATATATATAATTAAACACATACCATATAAATGTATATATATATATATATATATATATAAAACACAACCATATAAACGTATATATATATATATATATATATATATATATATATATATATATATATATATATATATAAACACATCCACATCAACGTATATATATATATATATCCATATAAACGTATGTTTTTGTTTTCTTTTTTACAATAAGCTTCACCCTGTACAAAATCAGTTGAGGGTTACGTCTTGAGGTAGTTTATATTTATACGACGAGAATACATCGGATGACTCTAAAATTGAACAGGTTAGGATTGTAGCGATCGGGGAAACATCCTCTTGGGTGTCTGGTCCATAGATCATTGGTTGGAGGGAAGAAGCTGTTTGAGTGGAACTTACTTCTCGCTGATGAAATACGGAGGGAATGAGGATGGATTACTAGTATGTAAGTGGCATGGCGAACCCTAGCCGTGAAGGTCAGACCTGGTTGAACCAGGAGATGTAGTTCGTCCGAGCACTTTTCATGTTAGTAGCGATAGAGCAGTGAGAGACTCGCCATATCCCGCCTGTGAGAGAGAGGTTGGTGGTTGGGAAATAGTTCTTCTTCAACAAGGACTCGGAGACGGTTTTGAACTCTTTCATGATTGGAAAGTGAGGTCTGTGCGGTTCCTGCCCAAATATAGCAAGAGTACGCCATTTTCAGCCTGATTTGGCTCTTATAAATGTAGAGGATAGCATGAGGAGTCAGGTACTTACTGGAGCGGTTCAGGGAGACGATCATTTTATCTGCATCTTTAGCGATGCATCGTATATAGGAATTCCATTTGAAGTCTGGTGTGAGTTTGAAGCTCAAACATCCTCTCAAGGCAAGGTGCCTTCTCGTGGGGACATCCGTTCATCGTGACTGGCGGTAGTTCGGGGTTTGATTGACGATGATAGAATATAACTGGTTTGATTTTAGAGGCACTGAACATAACCAGTCAGTGTTTTCCCCACTTGGAAGTTAATGTTACATCGGAATGGAGGTCATCTGTCAATCTCTGATCGTCAAGCCATTTAGAGGTGCACCCGTATATCGTCGTTTCATCGGCATAGACATTTACAAATGATCGGAGTATATTCTTTGATAGATCATTTATGTAAATCAGAAAGAGGGTTGGTTCGAAAAGTAAACCCTGGAAGACGCCTCCGTAGACCGTCAGGGACTCGGAGGACTGGACGTTAATAACTACCTTCAGAGATCTACCTGCTAGGAAGGATTTTATAATAGAGAAAGCCCTTCTATAGCAGAAGAGCTGGTGTAGTAAACATTTGTGTTACACCTTATCAAAAGCTTTCAAGATATCTAATGCTGTGGTTCTTGCGTTATGTATGTCATCAAGGGCTACATTAATTCTGTGTGCAATGGTAAGACGTCAGCAGTGGATTGGGCTGATTGAAACCCATACTGCTTGTCGCACAAGAGTTTGTTCTTATCTAGGTGCTCGACGAACTTCTTGTTGATTAAGGCCCCAAAAAGCTTACTGAGGACCGGGCATACGCTTACCACGTTCTACGCGCATGGGAAAGATTTCTTGTTCAAGTAGCGGTTAAATAATTTTACTAGAATCGGAGGTAATTCTGGGTTGATATTCTTAAGGACGACCACTGAAATGAGTATGTTACTGAGATTGTGCTGAGTGAGACGTGGGAAGTTGGGGAGGAGATGTTCGTTATCATCTAACGTTGAATTTGAGGCAAAGATCGAGGTGAAGAGCTTCGCCTTGTCTCTCGAGGATGATATGACCTCGTGGACATTTATAATATTGGACACAGCCGCCTTGCCTATGTTTATAATTTGGTTGTTGATCTTCCGGAATTGATTTTGGGCTTAGATATTCACTTTGTTTTACGTTTAAAAATCCCTGTCAAATTTTGCCTGGATAACCTGTATAATGACTGGCTGCTTCTTTGGTAAGATGACTAGCTAATCCCTGTTTAACATTTGTTTCAACGACACCTACCGAACCAACCTCTGTGATGAGCGAACCATAGTTAAAGTTTCTGGGAAAGCGCATGTCATCTAACGGACTAAATTGAAATGTGTTAGTAAAGAACGATTGCACATCTGATGTGTGAGGAGGTAGAATTTTTTTTTTATATTTACTAGGACTTCTTCATCTATG